AGGTTTTATTCTAGACACGGTAACAGTGCTTATCCTGTTTACCCTGAACCTATTCACTTGCAGTAAGACTCCACTATCCTCATTTTATGCAACTGATCATTGATCTCAGCCTAATGCCATGATAGAATGTGTACTTTTCTCTAAAACCAATCACCTTTCTCTTTTTCCCTTACTATCTTACAAGACTGTACGTACAACAGGACCTAAATGAGCCAGACCCAAGCACTGACTCAAGTGTGTGCGTAGTCTGGTCAAACGATGCTGTTGGAAGGGCGAGTGGGTAACTGAAACTGCACAGAGTATTGGATCTAGTTTATATGTCACCAAAGTACGTCTAGAGCTTCCTCTGAAGTACAGGATCCACCTGGCATTCCTCATCCTAGAATACCACATAGATCATCCAGAGCCATCTCTGAAGTCCCACAGTAAAGTAATGGATTAGTAATTTGTAGCAAGCTAGCACAGTAGTCATCCATCTCTGCACAGCAGTGCAAATGCCATCTTCCTATCTATGAAGAGCCTGCTTTCCTAATTAGACTCAGATTTCATCCTTTCCTCCTAGGAGTGGCAGAACTACAGCTTAAGAGAGTTGAGGTCTCTTTCCTTTTGATCTAGAAGCCAAGCTATCCTTTCTCCCTCATTACTGGGAAGAGTCTGCCTACTTCTCTGCATGATACAACATGGCACGTTACTTGTGAATGGAGGAAAGAAACCCACAAAGTTTAGAATTTAAAGCCCAGAATAACTTCCTTTTATAGAATAACGTTAAGTTCAGTGAACTAAAGCCAATCAGGTACCAACCTGCATTGTGCTCATAGTGCTTGGAACTGTAGACAGAAATATTTTGGTAGATCCCTTTTGAGAGTGATCCAAGAAGAAGAACTGGTCACAACATTTTATAAAAGCAATGAAGTAGATGATGGATCCAAGAGAAATTACAGCAAACAGATAGGAACAGTGAACAGCCACGAGAATAAATGCACTATGTCAGCAGTACTAAAGGAAATGGAAGTTGGTGACATCTGTTCTTTCTATGTCCTAAATATAAAGGTAGCACAAAACTGCCCCAATGAGAGACCAGATCTTTGGACTTGTCCTGGGTACATCAGTCATCATAATCTGCTTATTTATTTTTGGAGGAAAAGCTTTCTTATTAGGTAGACTGTGCCCTCCTGTGAGCCTCTCTGCATAAGGTGGCATGTATCAGTTATATCACAAAATGTTCAGACAAGAATTGCTGAGGGTAAGTAAGCAGCAGTAATTTATTGTCACAAGCTATTTCCTTTATAACGATCATGGAACAATAATTTTGGTCTGGGCTCTGAAAACCAGTAAAGGAATAAAAATGATCCCCTCCAACATTTTTTCCTTCAAGATCTGTTGTCTTTCTTAGCTTCAGAGCACAGGTCTTTGGCATGTAAAAATCAGAGGTCATTTGCTGTAATTTTGATGCTTTTATACTGAAAAATTATATATGACTTTGAAGCATGCATTAATTGAATACAAACATGCAAATAAATTCACATACATATATTTGAGTGCATTTTTGCAGGTATATTAATCTCTTTTTATTTGAATATCTACTTAGTTCAAACAGCTGTATATAAAGAGGGTCTAACTGAGGTAAACATTAAATGCCCATGTACGCCATGGAATCTTTCACAGACTAATGACTGGGTGATCATTTAAAAAATAGCAAATTTTGTTAATTATAAAGCCAGAGAACAAGCAATTAATAAATGCAAGATGTACTTTCCTCATTTATTTTGACAAGTGTTTAATTTAAATTATTTATGATTTTTTTTTGTAGCCTACTAGTAAATACTCTGCAATGAAGTTTGAAAATGAAAGCCAACTATATTAACACTGACCTTACTATAATACTCTGTTATTACAATTTTGCTCAGCAGTCAGGAATGATATACTTGGGGGCAAACCAGAAAGTGTACAAATTAGATTCTCCTGTGTAAGAATCAATTTATCATGCATATGTCACAGCTTGATGATATAGTTTATAAGATTAATAACACTGATTTATAATTTACAGTTATCAGTGTAACAATTGTGTTGTCATCCCAGATTTTTATTTTGATTTGCTGGTTTGATCACATCCATTTCTCAGCCAGGGTCAGGCCCATATATTGTGTGTTATATATCATGGGATATCTTGAGGTAGAGCTAAAAAATAATCATATAAATGTTGACCTGTACTACTTTCCATTTACAGTTTACTTAAAAAATCTGCAAGCTAAACAATTGAGTTCTACCACCTACTATACCCACACAAAAACATTATAGCCCATTATTTATAAATTATGACATACTTCAATATTAAACTTCAAACGGCTCATAGTGATTGAATAACTAGTGTGGAAAGCATTAAAAGAATAAAATGATTTTGCAGTTACATTACTTAATAGCTACAGGGAAATACTGATGTCTAGTGTCAATCCTTTGAAGTTCATTTAGAAGGAACGAACAGAGGAAACACAATATCCAAGGAGAATGAAGATTAATATAGGCGCAAATGTACAATGGATCGAGTTAATTTTTGAAGCAAGGCTACTGAAGTCAAAGAATTCAAATTTAGGAGTTAAGTTCATTGAATGGAATTGTCCAGCAGTATCATTGCATAGCTATGATGCTTGCTTAATGCTAATGATTACTTTTGAGGATAGACACACACACTTGACTGTAAAGCCAGATGATGTATGTATTAAGACAGATAAAGGGCAAAGCTCCTAAGCTGGAAAAGACGGGAAATGATACAGTATGGATTAAGAGCTGAGCGTATTCTGATGGATGACTGGCTTTTCCTTGGGCTCCCCATGCCTTCTGCAGCAGGTACTTTGTACATAACATACCTGCGTGGGAGACTGCACCCAATAACTGCATTTTACACAGATATCCTTAGCCACGGGTATGAGAAATCAGAACACCTCTGAAATCTATACCTCCAACAGAACCTAAGTCAGCTGAAAATTTCTTAACCAGTACAGTAATTCTCCTGCTGCACTGGAAGTTTAAAGTCATGTTTTGAAAGGAGGGAAGTTGGAGCTGTTTCAGAGGGGATTGAGAGCAGATGAAAGCAACATGAAAACTGGTTAAACCAGGCAACTGAACATATCCACTCTAAAGTGTAATGCTAGCACAGTACTAATAAAGTCAATGCATTTACAAAAAACAGCTCTGAACTTCTAAAAACTCCATGAGTTTTTTTTCCACTCTGACACCAGCCTTTCACAGAAACTAAATGACAAAGACTCAACTGATAAAACTTTCGAGATTAAACTTTGCTTCCTCCCAACAATATAATTAAACAATTTCCACTTGAAATTCTGAACACACCTATGAAAAAAAAAAAAGGCTAGTGACAGACCTAAAAGGGGTTGATAGGTTTTTCTTGGAATTTGTGTGTTGGCAGAGCGCTTCTCTTTTATATGCCGATATAATTTCCTTTATTTATAAGAAATAGCTAAATTTCCCAGCAATTTTCTGTTTTTCTTTTTTTCCTTAAATTGGAACATTACTTTGGTTCTACTCTTTTCCTCTGGCTCTCCCTCTGACCATTTAAAATTCCTTAACATGGCTACCGTAAAAAACATCTGTAGTGTTCAATACTTCAGTCTTTTATTTCAGATATTTTATATATTTCAAAAGAAAAGAGAAATGCAACACTCTTGTGACTACCAGGAGAGACTATGCTGTGTATCATCACATTTGCAGTATGCAAAAATGACATATGCCAATTATTTATTGTCTGAATATATAGTCTGTTCTTAGGAAATCGGTACCTCCAGTAGGAGGCAAGTGATTAACAATCATCCTTCTTTGCTTCCATTTTTCTGTTGTGATCATGTCACATTTTTAAGACCTGATAAGACACAAAATGGACTTTTATTCCAGCTGGTATTTGATTTTCTCCATGTGATGGAATATCACTCTTCTGTTCAGCTCATGTGCCCCTCTTTTTATTCATTGGCATGGACGATTTTGGCAGTAAGCAGAAGGCAAAATCATTTATTTAATAAGGTAAAGATGCCAGAAGATGCAGATGTTAATACTCATTTGGAAATAGTTTGATTGTGCGGCTAATATTAAAATAAGTAACATGTTGGCTTCATAGAAATCAATTTTTCAAACAAAACAGCATGGGCTGCATTAATACTCCATTAAGGAGTTTTCTTTTCCTGTCTTTCCCTGACATTAATTAGAGCACTAGAATTCAGAGTTGACAGCATCAAGCACATTAAAATGGTCAGGTTCTTACAAACTTTGTTCTTTCAAATCACACTATACAATAGGTTGCTGTCTAGGTAAAGTCTATCCATTTACAATTTTTGCCTGATCTTCTATGGCGTCTTTAATGCAGTCCCTGGGTATGTACGTGACAGTGATTGTACTTCTTTCTCAGTGCTAATGAAAAAACAGTCAGATCACACATCTTTCTACCTGCCACTGGGGCATGACTGTACCTACCATGTTGCAAAAGGTATTTATGTAGGTGCACTGAACTAGATGATTTTTTTTTTTTTTTTTTTTTTTTTTTTTTAAATCCAGAGGTGGCTGCAACTCCCTGGCAATGTTTAGTCCTCTGTATAGTCACTAATAGTTGGGAGAAAGGAGGAGGGACCGGGACATGCAGAGAAGCACACAGTCCCTGATCATCCCATGGCACTCTATATTTGCTTCCTTGAACTGTCATCTTTGGTTCTGCAGCTGGGCAGAAAGTAGTGGGATTAATAGTGGAACTAATAGAGATGGGACAGTGTAGGGAAGGTAGGGAAGAAAGATGGAGGATTTTGGCCCAATCTAGTAAGTCTTTGGAAGAACTATTCACTGTCTTTATGGATTTGTTCTTAAAGATTAAACCATCTCAAATATAGCAACTGGCTTCTAGAAGCTTTGTGTGTGATGTCATGCCCAAAATGAACATGCCATTTTTGCATACTAGAGGCATATTATAAAACTGCTTTTATTCAATAAAATGCAAAACTTACCTGTAAGACCAGTGGCTTCTGCTGATAAGAAGGCACTCCAGGAGAGGAGGAAAAACAGACCAGTCTCCAACATAGGAAACTCACACAGCTTTGTAAATTTTGTCAAGTGCTAAAAGATTACTAAGGAAAAATAAAAACCCAGCTGTTTTGTAAGCTAAAATTGTCCCCAGCCTGATAAAGGATGAAAGATAGAAAACACCCCCACCAGACTCATCTATGCAAGTTGAATTCAGGAAAAACTGCACAGCTTCTAAATTATCTCAAACAAAGAGCAAAATCCAGCACACTTTAAACAAGTGAATTCTACAAGTCAGCTATTTCAAGTACTTTTGTGGTTCTTGAACTAATGCCTAATTGGTTGCATTTGATATTCTCTTCCCAGAAAAAGGGAAAAATAAAGTAATTTTGTCCAGTTTTGTGAACAAACTGGCATTTCTTTGCATTTGCATCAATGTAAGACAGATGGAAATTGCTGCTCTTTCTACAACACTATTTTACATGAGGAACTGTAAAACGCACAAAGAAATGCAGGGCAACAGAGGTACATTTTATTGCTAGTTTGGGTAAACTGACTGATTTGATCTGTAGTCTAGTGTTTGCCTTGTATTTTTGTATAATTGCTGCTAGTCTGTAGTTCATTAATAAGTTCCTGTAGTTCATAAATTAATATTTTAACCTCAAAACACTTTCCTAAAAATGTAATTATTTACAAATAGTAAAATAAAGATGAGAGTCTTGCCTAATTTTAAAAAGAAATTTGCATATTACATTCTTTGTGGATTCTGACAAGTGAAATTTCCTGTCCATTTACACTTTGACTGTTTGCAGTCTTGAATCAACAGTTAAAAGGTTCAGACTCAAACTAAAGATTGTCGTCTCAGATAACACATATTTTTTCCGACATATATGGATTTTCTCTCTGAAAACAAACCATAAAGGATATCAAAGCTGTGACAACAGCATAAGAAGATCCCATGGCAAATGATCCAGCAAAGATCCCCAGGAAATTTCCCACTGACTGGAAGAAAGCAGCAGCATCAAACGCATTAGGATTCTCCTTAGGACTGTAAATGGATATAGAGCTGAAAATAAAAAAAAGAGATGGGGTAAAGGGCGAGAAAAAGGAATAATGATTTCAATCACATTGTTATGATTTTGGAATCAGTAATTGAAAATGGACATTTTTAGGGACTCAAAATGCAAAACAAGGCTTCTCTGGGCTAATAGCAGATAGGAGAGCAAAGCAGATGGAGACTAGGGGGGAATGGTTTATTTTCAAGGTATCACACTGGAAATAAATAGTCTGCCAGTCAGTAAACATTTTTATACTGGAAGTGCCATAAAGAACATTGTTCCCAGGCCAACTAAACATTAAAAGGTGGTAGGTGTATAGATAACGGAATTATTTATTGCCCATATGTTTCAGAGCAGTTATATATTCACAAATATTCTTGATAAAAAGTGCAGTTTTATGGCTGAGGCTCAAATGGGTGACACAAATCACAGAAGGTACCAAATCTGAAGCAGCAATCTTGTCATAAACCACCTAGTTCCCTTCTTGGCGTAACCCTTCATAAATAGAGTTGAAACCTTATCAAGAACTCAACAATAGGAAACATTGTGGACAGAATGAATGTTGTCCCACAGAAAGAAAATGCTGCAGTTGTCAAAGGTCATCTCCTGTATCCCACCCCTGCGTACATCTACCAAGAGTATTTTTTAAATGGGAAATGATCCACCAAAGGGAAGGCCATGCACTAAAGCATTTTTGAGAGTTTCAGTGTTGTTATTTGCCACTAGTCAGTTATTGCCCAGAACACTAGTAACACCAAGTATGTATGGCTTTTTCCATGTTGAGATATTAAATTTAACAGATACCAAATAGTTGTAAACCTCCCAAAATAATTAAGCAGCATATTAGATATTTGTGGTTCTGTTGCTTTCTGTACTGTAGGTCTTTTATGTTCATTGTCAAAGAAAATGTAGTGAGCTTGGGAATGGATATCAGAAAGCAGCTTGGATTGCTGGAAAATGATTGGTATTTTAAGCATTAAAAATTTATATTTTTTAATATGTTTTGAATATTTTAAGCTCTTGCATATTAAGAATGTGATCCCTGCAGTCTGATATCTTCCATCTGGAGATGAGGCTTAGAGATGAAACTCTGTATGGAGGATTTTCTAAACAGTTGCATTCATTTAGAAAACTCCAAATAACTTGAAGACACGTGAAAACAGATCTCACGCTTTCAGTCTGTAAAAAAGGCACAAGGATTCTAAAGGCATATGGTGGAGCACCACTAAATACGGGTGGTGAATACTTATCCACTACAACAGAAATTACTAAGCACCAAAATCTGGTGTCTCCAGTAATGCTGATTAGCACCGCTACAAAACTAGTGCGGTGGTTTGTAGTGGAAAGTGATACTAATCTAAGTACACAAAATACTGTTCCCAGAGGAAATGCTAATCCACAACATGGTGTTATCTGAATTTTCAGTCCTCTTTCAGCTGTGACTCTCTTAGACCAGGGTCAGTTACAATTCTTTGCTTCTCTTGCCTTCAGCTGATTCTTGAAATATTTGTCATCTCTGGCCTACGCAAAATTTATTATTTTAGACCCCATATGAAATAAAGAACTATATTAAGCCACAGATACATTCTCTAAACTGACAGAATAGTTCTATTAAAGGAAATCCTATCAGCTGTGATACTGTACATTTATAGTATAATTTACTAAGTGTATTTTGTATACTTAGGGAGGGCTTCAGTTTAGTTATTTAAAGTTGAAATTATTTGGTAGTGGAACTGGAACTGTTAGATCTAAAACTTTTAGGTGTGTCTTGACAGGAAGGCAGCTACTTGATTCTCTGGTATTTACGCCAAATAAGTATATAGAGACTGTAGCTGCTGTTCTGTATTGCTTAGTGAATCATAAATCAGGAAATGATCTTTTGTGCTACCGGTACTGCTGCAAGCATTGAGTGGTGAATTCAGAGAGATCAGCCTGACTGCACCCTAAAATCAAGGAAAATTGTTCTGTTCTACTGATGGGCTCTGCCCATGGAAGGGATGTTCAGTAATAAAAAGTACAGCAAAAAATCTTAACATGGAGTGAAGGTTTATTAGTCAAATGTATGCTGTAGCCATTAACTGACTATGTTAACCTTAAGGCAAGAAAAGTTGACTTTGTTAATACCTGTTAGAGTTCCAGTTTGCCTACTGATTTACCAACAGCTTCCAGGTATGGAGAAAACTAGAAGAAAACATCCTATTCTTAATGTGGTTATTTTAGGAACAAATATGGAGTGACTCATTCTCACTGGGAAATTTTTCTATTCAATATGCCCCCCCCAAACCCTGTGATTTTTTAAAAGCACCATAACACAACATATGCTCATTATGCTAACTGTGGTTTCTGGTCTAAATCTTTCCAGAATTCAGGTTTCCCTGCAGCTCAAATAGTATTTAGTTCTATTTTTCATTTTGTGTTATTCTGTACTAGTATAAGAAAAAAATGGGTTTATTTCTCTAAATTCGTATCAGAGGTGGATTAAGTAAATCCTGAAAATAAACGAAGTAGAAAACTATTTTCAGAGATTGATAAATGAACAGAAATAATGACAAAAATATGTTTTATCTGCCATCTGATATGAGATAGAGTGGAAGGATAGGAATAAAAGATTTTTGTTTGGTCCTCACTGAATGCTTGATAGACATATCTCAAACACCTGCCCCCATCCCTAGTACCTATCTGTATGTAAGTTTGGTAATCTCTGCCTCTTCTTCAGTATGGAGTTAAGAATAATACTTAGCTTCCTTGCTGATTCTTATAAGGATTAGCCAGCACTTTCTGTATTTGAAAACTATTTAATAGGTCCCTTTTTCTTTTTGGTTCTTCTGTGCTTCCTTGACCTAATAACAATGGACAGGATCAAGTGCTTTCACAACTTTCAAAAAGGAAATATAGGCAATATTTATTTATACAATAAATTACAAGTTAGGATGGTAGCTTTTGCTTGAAACAGAAAGAAGGATTAACAGTTTGTGCCAGTTGTACCACGCTGATCATTCTGCTTCTTCCCTCCCCTCATCTGTTAAGATCATTTTAGGATGAAAGCTCTGCATGATTAAGAATGTTTCTTTCTATGGACTTATATAGGCCTATAATACTAAAGATCTCCAGGACAAGCAGAAGTGCTATTGCAACAGAAAGTGTACAGTCACGTTTCGAGTTGCGTCTTAGTTGAATACTTTTTACATCTTCAGTTTTTCTCGAGAAAAATCTCCTTTGTTCATAAGATCCTTTTCTTCCTTTAAGTTTTCCGAGTCTGTGATTATAGCATGATGTATTTTCATTTTAAAACAAATTGAAAGCATTTAGGATTAGAGCAAAGATTTTTCAGTAAGTCATGGAAGTTTTTTGAGGAAAACTCTGTAGGTGAGGTTAAATCTTGTATTGGACCTTTTGTTCCTGTCAAGGCCTGACATACCTAGGGCTGGTGTGGCAGCATCAAATAAAGAGATGCTAATCAGTTGTAACTAGCAGAACAGCACAAAGATTCTTGGTTTTAATATAAGCCAAAGTGATGCAACACATGCATCATATGAATTTTAGAAAAAGGTAATATGCTGAAGAAAATACATTCAAGCATCAGAAGGAAAATGTGTGCAAACAGCAGAAAATTTCAAATAGAATGATGTGGAATCAATGATTAGAAATAACCAGTAAACAAACTGGTTTATTCCATTCTTCCTCCTTCTGCCTATTTGACCAACATGAAAACAAACAGCTTATTACCTTTGGAGAGGAAGATTTCTTTCCACTTGCTAAGTCAAAGGGCTTCCTCTTGCCCAGTGGCCTCCTTGCTATTTGCTGCACTATCATGCACCATGTAATACTGTACAGAAAAGAATCAGGAACAATCTAAAGAAAAAAACCCCATACCTGAAAGTACAGGAAGGTCAGATATTCCTTAAAATACCTTCCTTGAATGAAGTGGGATCTCCCTCAGGTGACAAATTATTATATAAATACATGGTGATTTACTCAGCTGCTAATTAAGAAAAAAGAAACAGGCCGGGGATAAAAAAATATTCTAGAGTTCAAGGTTATTTTTAAGAGTGAAAGAAGCTTATTTTTTCCTGACATTATACAGAAAAAGGTAGGTCACTATACTGTGTTAGAAAACTTGGAGCCTTCAGAAGAGTGGATAGAATTGAACAATTTCTATTCCCACACAACTTTTTAACTATATAGTTTTCCTGAAAGTGTTTGAAGAAAGCTGAAAAGACAGTACTATAATTTTCCCACAATGTAAGTGTTTGAACTGGAAGCTAGATGTGAAATCGCATGCATAGCACCAGACACCTACACCTTCTTTGACAAGTTTTAGGTTGGCAAAGCCTTCCAGGCTTCCTCATGAAATAGGTCCTCACACAGTAATAGTAAGTAGATGAATTATAAAAATGAAAAAAAATGAGAGAAGATTGGGATGTGACTATGTCAAGCCAACAAAAACATAGGAAGTAGAGTAGGTTTGCAGACGATTAAGGGAGAGCAAAGAAGAGAAGAGTAGTGCAGGAAGGACAAGCAAAAGCAGCCAATTTTAACAGTATTTGAGGCAAATATATATAGAGATGCTCTAGATGAAAATTTCCAACAGCAAAGTTACTGCATTTTTCAGATGTGTTTAAAATACTGAACAGTAAGCAATACAAATGCACAGAAGGTGTATTAAAAGAACATAGATGAGTCTTCAGTACATCCTTCTGTATAAAGAAATCTGTCTCCTTGGAATTTATTCCTGACAATATTTTCAAATGTTTAGAGAATTAAGGCTCCAAAAACATGGATTTCACAGTCATATACATTTTAATCTTTCTATTTATATGTGTGTAAGAACTGCAAAAAAAAAAAAAAATTACTGGTGGCTGAGTTACTGCTCAAGTGTCTAGCATTTGAATCTTCATTTTTCTGTTTATCTGAAACTTTATTCTTCTTGGAAATATATCACATCAAGGTTTTTATTCCACTCACAACCTGTTTTCAGCACACTGTAAGTATTGGCGTTGGTTTTAAT